GTACTTGCCAAGAAAATGCAAGCCAGCACGCTGGCCAGGATGGGCATGCTGCCCAGGCCATGGGCAAGCTGTGGTGGGACGTCCCCGCTGCATCCAGGGGCCCACACCGACACATCCTGCCCACCCTGAAAGTCACGAGAACCAGGAAGGCTTACCTTGGCAGCCTCCTGAGCCACCTTTACCAGCATGAAGAACTCATTCTGGATCCCAGGAAGGCAGATTTTCTCAAACACACTTTCCTGGGCCTGGGCGAGCATCATTTTGACCAGCACATTGAGCATGGCGGGGCTCATGTCGTAGCTTGGTGTGTGAGTAAACGTCTCTTTCAGGTAGTTTAAAACCCCTACGATTGGAAATATTTTGCACATTATTTGGGGACCATATTTATTTCACCATGCTGTTCAGAAATATAGAAAACTGACTGAAGCAAAAATCCTGGAGCATCTTCAAAAATATGATTCTCAATTACCATAAGTTCCAGCAATTCCACTCCTAGGAATACACACCAGAAAACTGAAGGCAGGGACTTAAACTGGTAGTTGTGGACCAACATGCATGGCAGCATGGCAGCATAGCCAAAAGGCAGAAACAACTTGAATGTCCATAAATGGACTGATTAATGGATACATGAAATGTGGTATAAACACGCAATGAAATGTTTTTCAGCCTTAAAAAGAAAATTCTGGCACATGCTACAATATGGAAGAAGACATTATACTAAGTGAAATAAGCCAATCACAAGGACGAATATTGTATGATTCCACTGAAATGAGATACCTGGAATAGTCTGGAATTCATAGAAATAAAGAGTAGAATGGTATTTGCCAGGAGTTTGGGAGGGGGAGAGGAAATGGAGAGTTACTGTTTAATAGCAACAGTTTCAGTTTGGGATGATGGAGAAAGAGTTGCACAACAATGTGAAGGGACTTAATGCCAATGAACTCTTAAGAATGGTTAAAATGGTAATTTCGCTATGTATCTTTTACCACAGTTTAAAAAATGATATGACTCTTCCAAACATTTACATCTGTATCAGGAAGGGAAACCAGCCTGCTGCCATCCATTCCTCTCTCTCCTGGGACAACTGAGAAATTCCAAACATGGCCGGGCACTTGAGGAAGGCAGAGCAGAAAGCAGGCAGGTGCGTGGGGCAGGCTCACACTTAACACCCAGGTCATTCGGAAAAGTAGGGCTTTTCCCTGGGGCCCTGGAAAGAGCAGCTCAGCCCATTTCAACAGAAATTTTCCGGCTGTGGCCCTCGGCTGACTTTTTTTTTTTAAGCTTTAGAAAATTAACTGTCACAACATAAACAGACATCAACCTGCAGCTAAAATAAAAGCTCCACCATGAATCCCATCTGACTGGTTCCTCTGGTTTTGCCTCCAAGCAGACAGCTTTGCAGAAGGAAGGCAACTACGGCGGGCTGTTTGCGCCTCTCTGGGTTTCTCCACTTTGTTCTCAAGCTGCATTCTGTACATGTCTGTAATCTCAGAGACAGTCACAAGTATACCTGCTCAAGATTCCTCAGAATGATGAGTCCAGAAAAGGATTTACAGAGAAAGAAATCAACTCCTATACAGAATACTGGCATACTGGTTCATCCTGAGTATGCCAGACACAGGCCCTGCTGGGCGGGGGCGGCGGGGGGGGGCCGAGGCAGGACCCTTCGAAATGTGTCAGCCAGATGGGCCCACCCACTGCACCAGGCCTCCAAGCCCTGGTCCTCCACAGGTTCGTGCTAAGTGTCGTTTGACAGAGGGCTGAGAAGAGCACCTTAGGTAGGCAGGCAGGCTTCACAGAATCAGCAAAATACAAAGGCATAAATAGTAATAGGCACTAACCAGGGACACATAATTTTTTAAAAAGCCTATGTTTTTACTGCTCAGAAAAACGTATTCTGTTCTTCAATATAGTGTTCAAAGGAACACTTCATTTACTACCACCCTTGGGGCCACTCATTTGGAAAAGATTAATCGTTAGCCACAGGATTCACTGTGTACATGAGCCACCACCCAGACTCAGACTGTGCCAACAGGGTTTAAACCATTAAGTAATTCTCTTGGTGGGAAATTACACCAGCACTGGAAACTGGCCTGGCCCTTTCAGGTCCATGAGATCAGGCGTGGGCCTGGGAAGGACCCACGGACCCACTTCAGCTGGGGTACCCAGTGCCAACGAATAGGGTCAGGACTCTGTCCCAGCAGCCCTCTCGGAGACGTACCTGCGGCTCTCTGAAATGCGTCCACTGCACTCTCCAGCCCAGCTTGCGCCTTCCGATTGCACCGGGTCCCAATCTGTGTGTAGAGGGCTCCAATGTTAAACAGAATGCTGGCCTTTTCCAGTAACAAGTTCTGTTGGCTGACCGGGACCCCGGTGAGGGAGTCATACCTATTTAAAAGAAATGTAATGTGTTGTGAGAATATAGATTACTTGGCTAGTTAATGCCATTTTGGGAAAAAAGTGATCAAAATTTATTTCTTGAATAAAAATCAAAGATGCACATGCAATAAGGCTTTCATTTCCAAACAAGACAATGGGTCTGATCATACTGAAGACATCACAATAGCACCCAAAAATAAGGTTTTACAACCAAGATGTCCTTCAGCAGGTGAATGGATTAAAGAGCTGCAGTATATCCATACAGTGGAATATTATTCAGCACTAAAAAGACAAAAAGCTATTGAGCCATGAAAAGACATGCAGGAACCTTAAATGTATATTGCTAAGTGAAAGAAGCCAATCTGAAAAGGCTACATACTGTATGATTCCAACTATATGACATTCTAGAAAAGGCAAAACAATAGAGACAGAAAAAGAATCAGTGATTACCAGGGTTCATAGGGGAGAAGGGGAAGGGACAAATAGGTGGAGCACAAAAAAATTTTAGGGCAGTGAAACTACTCCGCATATTATAACGATAGGTACCTGTCATTATACACTTATCCAAATCATATAGAATGTACAGCACCAAGAGTGAACCCTAATGTAAACTATGGACTCTGGGTGATAATGTGTCAACTGTAGTAAATGTACTCTGATGGGGGTCGCTGATATTGGGGGAGGTGGCTGGTGTGTGAGGGCAGGGAGTTTATGGAAAATCTCTGGACCTTCCCTTCAATTTTGCTGTGAACCTAAAACTGCTCTAAAAAATATAAGGCCTCTTCTAACTAAAATACAGCAATTACAAACCCCTCATAATTCTTGCTAAAGTCTAAAAGATTCAAGATTTGTTTTAAAGTTCACACATCAACCAGCAGGTAGACATGGAACTTCTTAATTCAAGACGGAGGTGAAATCGCCTTTAGTACCTTGACCAGAGGAGACCGCTCACAGAATCTTTACAAAAAGTCATCTGTCTTTCGTTTCAAAAGGCAGGCATCATAGGGGCCTACTGTGTGTAATTTAACTTCAATGTGATCCTTACTATTGGGATTTAGTCTCCTCTCACCCACACTCAGAGAATAGGTACAGCACCTCCAAAGTATTTAAACAACACTCATCTTTGAAAATACCAACTCTAGCCCTGGCTGGTGTAGCTCAGTGGATTGGGCATCGTCAAACTGCAAACCAAAAGTCAGTCAGTTCAATTCCTGATCAGGGCACAGGCCTGGGTTGCAGGTTCAGTCCCCGGTTGGGGGCGTGTGAGAGGCAACTGATTGCTCTTTCTCTCAAACATCAACATTTCCTCCCTCTCTTTCTCCTTCCTTCCCGCTATCTCTAAAAAATAAATGAATAAAATCTTTTAAAAAAGAAAAAATATCAACTCTAGCCCTAGCTGGGTAGCTCGGTTGGTTAGAATATTGTCCCAATATGCCAGGGTTGTGTGTTTGATCCTGGGTCAGGGTGCATACAAGAATCAGCCAATGAATATATAAATAAGTGGAACAACAAACCAATGTTTCTCTCTCTCCCCGTCCCCTTCATCTCTCTCCAAACTCAGTAAAGAAGAAAAAAAATACCAACTCTGGAAAAAACCAAATATTTTGCTTTGTTTTTAATTCGACCTATTTCTGTTTGGAGCCCTTGTCATTGGGACAAAACCTGATTCCCAGCCCCCACCCCATCTGGGATAAGAATCTTGCTTCTTGTTAGTTCTACCTCAGAGCCCTGATGAGAAAATGAGCATGAAAAAAATGCCTCTTCTCTTCAGCTCACTTGTTCTGAGAAGAAAAAAGGCAAGGTCTGTTGGAGCCTTCTCCCCTTGGGTCCCCTTCACAAATAAACACCAGTTTATCTACACGTCCTGTACAAAAAGGACAATTAGAAAGAGGGGCCCACGGTGCAGTGGGGCAGCACCAGCTCAGACCCCGGGCACCTACCAGGTGAACAAGATCCCCATCTGTCGGGTGGGTGGGAAGAACCGGCTCTCAACAAAGCCCAGCTGGAGGAAATAACTCATCAGCAGCTCAACACCGGCCTCATCCCTGCTGGGTGTCCGGCAAGACTGAAAGGAAAGAAAACCCCCAAGGGGGTGAGTGGGTGAGTAGAGAGCAGATGCGGTGGAAGGTAGAAGGTGCTACACATGCTGTTCTGTGGAGTTTGGGCCCTGCTACCGGTATCACGAACTCTAGGAGGCTTGGACAGGGCTGGGATGAACATGGGGGTCCCAAATCCAGCCCCAGATGTGCCAGCAGGCAGATCTCTTCCCTTCTGTGGACTTGTGTGACAGGTGGGACAGATGATTCTGGCAGCCCCTCCCGATCACCTCCAACAATCTGCAATCCCACAAGATTTCAAGTGCAACAGTGAGATGTTCTGAAGACTCAAGCTCCAGGTTTGACTGTCCCCTCCCTGCTGCTTGCAGAAACGCACCTGTCTCAGATCCATAAGATCTGCTATTTCATCTTCATATAGGTAGCTATCTTCACTGTAATGTTCCAGAATAAAGTCCTGTAAGAAAAGTGGGATAAGATAAAATTGAGATAGAGTGTCACTCAAAACCATAAAGAGGTAAAAGAGTAATGTCTAATGTGCTCCCTTTAAAAATACATGTTCCCTTTACGCTGTCTTTGAGGCCCTGCTGCCCCTGCGCATGACACCAGGGTCAGGCTGCAGGGCCAGAGCACATGCTTGTGCATAACTGGGACCTAACTCTCCACACCCTGCCCCTTTTAACCCTTAGCCACATGGCGGCAAAAAAGAAAGGAAAAGAAAGAAAAGCAAAAACAGAAAAAATAAATAAGTAAATAAAAATACATGTAGAATACATAGGAACCTATAGAAGATTATATTCTACAGTGATTTTCTGAGTGGTGGGGTTTATTTTATTAATTGTGTTTATGTATATTTCACACAAGGCTATGTTTACTGATTTTGGAGACAGAGGAAGGGAGAAAGACAGAAACATCCTGTGCATGTCCCAGTCAGGGATCAAACCCACAATCTAGGTATGTGCCCTGGCCAGGACTTGAACCCACAACCTTTTGGTGTATGAGAGGACCATCCAACTAACTGAGCCACCTGGCCAGTGCTATATATATTTAAAAAATTTTCTTTTGTTGCTTCCGTAAAAAGGAAAGCTGAAGTTTTTTTTTTAAATGTCTGCAACAGTTAAGTGACCTATACATTAGGCAATTCTACTAAATGCCACAGATATTTAGGGGCTCAGACCTGCATCCTGTGGGCTGCCTTCAGTACCAGGGCACAGCATCCTCCTGGAAAAGGAAACTTGTATCTTAGGACTGTTGCCGGGATGCTGCGATGTTAACCCTTGTGACAGCAGCTCTGGCCCTTCCAAAATGAAGCACCCTAGCAACACCCCCCACAGGGCCCACAGCCCAGAGTTTGACACGCTGTCTTTGAGCTCACTCAGTCATACAGCACATACTGACGAGCACGCACTTGAGCCAGGCACATTCACAGCCTGGGCTACATCAGTGAACAAAATAAAGATCCAGTCCGGTGGAGCTTATATTATCGCAGGGGCACAGTCAATAAGAACCAGACACAAGGAACACATAAATTATATGGCATCTTAGAAGATGACAAATATTGTAGGGGAAAAAAACAAGAGCAGTATAAGGGATACGGAAAGCACATTCTGGCATAACATCCTCCCTGAGTGCTGGCTCTCCTTGGCTGCAAGAAAGGCAGGGAGAGCCCTGGCCAGACGAGTCCGTCAGTTGGGGTATCCTCCCCGTACACCAAAAGGCTGCGGGTTTGATCCCCGGTTGGAAGGCAGTTGACCAATGTTTGTCTCTCACATCAATGTTTTGCCCTCTCTCTCCCTCTGTCTTTCTCTTCCTTCCTCTCTCTCTAAAATCAAGAAACATATTCTCGGGTGAGGATTTAAAATTTTGAAAAAAGAAAAGAAAAAAGAAAGAAAGGTGAGGACAGAGGCTGTGCAATTACGTTCTTTCACAAGTGTCTGTGAGGATCTCTTTACACACTTCCTACATTAAAGTCCTGCTTTTTGTCCGCTCCATGCATATCTACACACACGTCCATTACCCTCATCTTATAAAAATGGGATTGTACTACTCAAAGAATATAGAGCTTTGTTTTGCTTTTTTAAAAAATTGGCAATGCATCAAACATTTTCCTATACCATAAAATATGAGTATTCGATAACATGACCTTTAATGGTTATATAATCCTCCAATGTAAAATTCACTTATTCAACAAGTAAACTGGGCACCTGCTATGTGCTAGCCAGTATGTACGTGATAATCTTCACCCACTCTTTTTGGACCTTAAAGTCGTTTGTAAGTTTTACAGGTAAAGATAACACCGTGACACTCATCCTGTGCACACCTCTGGTTAGTTCCTCAGAGAGAATCCCCAGAAGGCGTCTCGCTGGGCCTGAGGCTATGCAGAGGCTCCTCTTTTTTAATTTGGTCCTTTTTACCCAACTTTTCTTTTTGTTCTAAGATGCTGTCACAGATTTTCTTTATGACTTTACTTAAAGTTCTGATGTTTGGAATCAGCTCCTCTACTAATAAAATGATGATTTGTAAAGTTTGTAATGGTTTTCAAATGTCATTGATTCTGTTATTACTGACACTAGTTGCAGTGAGGATGATCTGAAGAACCAGGGTCACTCGGGTTGCTCTCATGACATCCCTGAGAGCAGGGCCACGGGCCACCACGCAGGTGATTCTTTACAATGTGGCATGTTGTTCTATCTACCTTTGCAGTGGACCTTAGCAAAAATTTTCTTAAAAGAAGAGAAATTACTATTAAAATATGAAGTTAAAAGAGAAACCTTATGTTAACCTCATAAGGGTCAAAGATGATCTTGAAAAAAATGCTAAATGTATTCCTGACTTTGAAACTTCGTAAACTAGGATGGATTAAATGTATTTATTAGATAAAAAATATCTAACTGAAACCCGCCTCAACCATCAGGGAAAAGACAAGAATTTGTATCATCACTGCTATTACTTAGTATAATTCTGAAAGTTCTCTAGCCAACAAATTAAGAAAAATAATATATATTAGACACAAAGTAATTTTTTTGCAAAGTAACAATATACTAACAAAACTTCAGAGCACCAACTAATTAGAATTCAGTAAACTGGCAAATAAGTTAACATATAAAAGTCAATGGTCTTCCTTTCTTATACAGCCGATAACCAGTTAGAAAATATAACAGGGGAACAATAAATTTCACAATAACAACAAAAGCACAATACTTCTAGGGATAAAAATAATGTAATTAAGCCAATAACTATTAAACTTTATTGAACCTTAATGAATTCATTAATTCATTTTTTCATTTAATTTATAAAATCATTTAAATAAGACAGATATGGTCCCCACCACCATAAATATGCTATTTGTTGACATCACCAATTAAAAATATATTTATGGATGAAAATGTGCAATATTGTAAAGGTGAAATTTTGTCCAAATTGGGCTATGGTTCTGATGAAATTTCAATTAAAACCCAAAGGTACTATATTTGGAAAACTTCACAAAGTATGAAAGTAAAGGTGTGGAAGAAAAGGTAAGAACATTTTGAAAAGCATAATAATAAAGGACGATTGCTCTATTTAGTGCTAAAACACGAAGGGATTAAACAGTGTAAAATGGACAATGAACTGAAGCAGATTCGAGAATCAGGTATATAACTAAAGCCAGAATTCCATGGAAGTGGGAAAGGCTGAAGCATCCAACAGGTCCAGGCAGGCAGGAAGAGGCACACACAAATGGAGTGACTGACGTGAGTTTAAGAAAAGGACTATGACGGGTGTGGATGGTGTGGGACCTCCAGAACCATTAGAACCCCAGAGGTGAAGAGTCAAGGGGGAGAAGTAGCTTTGAAAACCTGGCGAAGTGGCTACTGAACAGCCACTGTGACCTTCCCTACGGGGATGCAAAGGAAGCCAGCTGAGGGAGCCAGGAACAAATGCTCAACTTCCCTCTCCTCCTACCCTCTCATCCCCGCTGGTGCTCCTCCCCCTTGGCCACACCCAATAGGAAACCACAGCGCCTGTTGCTGCCTCCTTGGCACAGAGCAGGATGGAGGATGACAGGATGGCGGGAGGTGGGGGAAGCGGGGAAAGACACCATCCAGCACCACACACGGCTTCTAGACCCGTGGTTCAGGAGAAACGGGCTGCCCGTTTGAGGGAAGTAAACAGTTAAAGCCTTACACCTCACATTTACCCCCAAACAAATTCCAGACAGATTAAAGATTTGAGGTTAAAAAATTTTAAACAAAGGACAGGAAAAACAATAGCAAAATATTTATAACATCTTAGTGCAGAGGATGCCTTTCTGAAGATGTCAGCAAGACAGAATTGTAAAAGGAAGAACTGATAAATTTAAAAACATAAAACCTATATGGAGAAAATATAAATACTTTTTAAACTGGTTATTGCTCATATAGCAAAAGTTAAAGGAAAGAATGTACTGAGAGAAATATTTTCACTATATATAAGCAAGGATTATTGTCCTTCACAGGTTAAAAAAAACTGTTTTAAGTAATAAGAATGACACTATGGAAAACAGACAAAGGAGAGAAACAGTCATTCTGAAAAGGAGAAATGGAAGGGGCACATAAACATACACGAGAATGCACTCAACTCTATTTCTGACCAAAGAAATGCAAACTATAATAAAGTATCACTTTTGCCTGATTTCACAAAAATCAAAAAGATAGTTTTTTAAAAATGAGAATGATGAATGATACCAAGTGTAATCCAAGGTGCGGGAAGATAGAAAGTTACACACTGGAAAGCAGGACCATTTCTGGTGGGAAGTTAGATAATAAAGTATCTTTGACCTACTAAATTCACATCTAGAAATTTATCCAAAGAGAATATTCAGCAAAGTGTGAAAAAAATGCTCAGTAGAGAGCTGCTGACAATAGCAAGCATTTGGAAACTGTCTGCAGAAGGAAATTAACAGCTACCCCCTTTAGCACAAAGATGCAGCATGCTGAGCCCCCGTGGAAGGGATGAGTCACACCTTGTGAGGCAGTCCCATCAGAGGAAGAGCCTGGCATCCAGACATGAAATGCTGAGCAAGCGCAAGAGCTCAGTGGGAGGGTGGCAGGTTGTGAGGGATCTATACACACCTTAGTATTTTCTGAACATTTTAGGATACTGTTCTTAATCAGAAAATTAAATAAAGCTCTATTTAAAATAAAAAAACAACCTGAATTCTCTGGAAAGGGACTATATTTTGATGCTTTTTAATGAGGCCATTTTAAAGCCCACTTATTTAAAATAAAACCAAATCACATTGCAAGGCTTTACTATTAAACATCACACAGACACACTGATCAGATTTTAAAGACAATTGGAATTGCCCTGATTAAGACAGGCAAACTACTTCTGTAGCACCTGTCACTCAAGCACAAATGTGGAAGGGAGAAAACAGAATGTCCCCAAATGTTCTCATTTTTGTATGACTGACATTTGTAGAGTCCCTTTTAAGATAAAATGACATGGTTGAAAGCCTCAGCTGAATAGCAGTTGGCCATGCTCATAACACATGATTTTTTCACTGGCTTTAATGTGGAATTCAGCGCATGACATGTTCGGAGCCTTACAGATGCCTGTAAAATCCCCAAGTTTCTCTAGGGGTTTCCCTTTAAAATGTTTACACTTTAAAAAAAAAAAAAAAAAAGGTCTACACTCTTGCAGTTCTGGCACCAAGCATCAAATTAAATCTTGAGAAAC